AAAAAAAAAAAAAAAAAAAAAAAAAAAAAAAAACCTGAACAAAATTAGTCTAAATTTAGCCCAGGCTACTGCAATCTGACTCCAACAATATAATAAAAGGTACTTATATGGTTAAGTCCCAAGCTGTGTTTATTCAGGGTGTCAAAATTTTGTGTGCTTAATTTTGCATTGGAGCTACAAGATTAACATAGCTAACAACTAATGCAAGTTATGACCACCAATTACCATTATTCAAACGTACTTACCTCAACATGTTAAGTAACCAGTTTCAAGTAGGCCTGCCTACATGGTCTGGACACTGTGAGGTAAAACTATAGATGGATTAAAGTACATTGCATGGCTGTAAAAATGTCAAAGCAAAAAAACAGACTTTATCTGCTATCTCACAAAACCACATAAAAGTGCCCTCCAGAATTATTTGTACCCTTCATGAATCTGAGCAATAATAATATATAAAAAGAACAACACATGCAATGTTATATTTTGAGCTTAAACATATGGGGATGCTGTAAATGCATACAAATAATTCTTCAAACACACAAAAAAAGGCCTTTTTAAGTTTTTTGCATTTTTTTCTTCCAAACATTGATTTTAAAATGAATACTTACAATTGACACTTGGTGAAGCCATCCCTGAAGAGAATAACAGCACTGAGCTTCTTCCTGTTACATATAATCATTATGTTATGTATAAAGTTGGAGACACAAAGTTGCAGAGGAATCTTGGACCACTCCATCATACACAACATGTTAAGCTACTTTATATTCTCAGGTTTGTGCATGTAGATGCTCCCTCATCAATGCAAACAACAGTTTTTCAATAGGGAGCAAATGCAGGGAATAAAATGGAAAATGGAAAATGGAAATTTACATCTTTAACCATGGTTCTACAGTTAAGTGAAGGACCAAAAGAGTGGTTTTCTTCTGAACTAATGGAGTATTCCCTTTTTTTTGCTTTTCTGCTTTTCTCAATTTCTGAGTACCAATAGCAAAGTTTTCAGCTTATGACTGTGACCATGACCCTATGTGAGTAGTCTATGAAAGGTCCCTACTACATTGCACTCACCTTCTAGTCATTCTCTTCAACCTGAGGAACCCATGTGGCCAGGCAGTCCTCCAATTAGTTGTAGAACCATGGTTCCATACATAACCTTCTGTTCTACTTCCTTATGTTCCAGACTTTCAAGTACTGATACCGTACTTTATTGAGGATGAGAATCAAAATGCTGATCCTGCTTTCTTTTGCAACTCAATGTTCTGATACTGCTGTAGGAAAACTCTTCAGAAATACTTCTAGCTGACTCTCTGAGAAACATTGCTCATGGTACAGGATAAGGAGTTAATACCAAGTGTCACTATAGTGATACAACTGCATACAGCTGTTGCATAGATGGAACATGCATATTTATAAGAATGTGTCTGACACTTTGCAAACATGTCAGTATGCTGGGGGTGCTCCCAGGGGCCAAACACAGAATTTCAGGATGTGTAGTCTGCTTTGCCATAGTGATATGTTCATCAAGGACTGCATGCCTGGTCTAATAGGAGGGCCTATCAATAACACTGATAAAAGGCAGAACAGAATGGGCCTATCAACACGCTGGCCAGTCTACTGGATATGTTGTCATCCAGCAGCAGCAACCTCGAAAAATCATACAGCTGTAGATTTGACCAATCCTGCACCAAGTCCTGTCTATGAACCCTGCCACTGACTTGTCTGTATGTTCACAAGCAGATCGACTTCTGCTCTTCTCTAGATGTTCCACTTTAGCCTAACTGGAGAGATAGTGTTGACTATCTAAATGCATCAGCATAATAACTCTTAAGACAGAATATGTGCATCTGTTATTTCCAGAGTTTATTCGCCCAACTTCAAAATGACTTGTGATTTTTTTGCCCTTTTGGTTGTTACTTACAAAATTATTAATTTAGTTACCGTATGACCACAGCACTACACACCTCTACTCACTGACTGAAACAATTGGCCACATATCTGTTCTAAGGACACAGACAACTATGGTGAGAATAGTAATAAGTCAAGTACTAGAATTACCATCCACATCAACACACACTCCTTTGATGGTGAGGATTTAACAATAACAAAATTATTAAGAATCTTGGTAATCTTGGTACTCAACAATGAAACTAGATCTAATGGAAACCAACATAGCGGTCTGGAATGAAAGGAAAAGAACATTAATTTTGTGTTTCTGAGGAGGTTTTTTTGTTATAGAGATGACGTCATTTATGTGATTCTATTACATGATGTATGTAATAACTATGTAATTCACAATGGTGTCCTTTGGATTCTTCTTTGCCCCTCTGGGTTCTTCTTTGTGTGCAGGAAATGCAGAAATTCCAACTGTTACAAACCTTTTTAACCTTTTATTATGGTCTGAATTATGCTTAAAGGTAACATTAACTTGTTTGTGCAGGCCAACAACTATATGACTCTTGTTTTAAAAGACTTTGGGCTTTAAAGAAAATATGATAGTGGAGCACAAAAAAGAAGAAAAAAAAAGCTTTGGAAACGTGGTTTTTACTGACCTGATCAAAGAATTTCCTGCTAAGAAACTGACACACCTTTTAAAAGGCCTAAATTTGATTTTAGGGATTTCATTTGGACTAGTAGGGGGCATGGTGGCTTAGTGGTTAGCACGTTTGCCTCGCATCTCCAGGGTTAGAGGTTTGATTCCTGCCTCTGCCCTCTGTGCGCAGTCTGCATGTTCTCCCTGTGCTTCAGGGATTTCCTCCAGGTACTCCAGTTTCCTCCCCCAGCCCAAAGACATGCGCTCTAGGCTGATTGCCATCTCTAAATTGTCTGTGGTGTATGAGTGTGTGTGCAATTGGCCTCCTGTCCAGGATGTTCTCTGCCTTGTTCATTGGACCACATTGCTATCTGATAACAATCCATGTATAGTAGAGTGCATTGTTTGGACTACATATAGGTTTGATTCTGAGAAAGTGATGGCACCTGTCTCTTATTACAGATGTAAAGTTTGTTACGTATTCAGACATTCAGGAATTTCTGGTCAAAAGCACATGAACAGCACGCCAAACTATTGTACCGTAAGACCACAGTGTATTGTTTTGAATGTGACATCAAAAGGAGAACTAACTATAGAGTCGTGTCTTTTTTTTTTTTTGCTTGCAATGGCAATCTCTTTTCCCTTTGTCTCTAATGCAGGCACACACACACACACACACACACACACACACTTCTGATAAATCATTTGTTCTTGTGTTCATTTGATTCTGTGACTCAGTTTCTGTGCTTTAGTTCATAAGGGTTGACACTGCCTCTCTGTTTCTCTGCTGAATGACTACTTTTTCATTATGTTTTCATTATGTTTTCAGGTTGTCCGTGTATCTGTCCATCCATCTGTCCATCTGTCCGTGCGTCCATCCAACATTCTCGTTAGCACGATGTCTCAAGAATGCTCTTGGTCACAGCAAGGTCAAATGTCTGACATAGTTTTTCTTCAATAGCTTCCTTCCTGTCTGAAGTACACTGAAGGGTACTTGAGGCACAGTAACAAGAAGGACTAAACCTGCTGGTGGTGGAGGCATCTCTGTCAACTTCTATTTGTTTGTTTTAGTAGCTACTGTTTTGCGTCATAGCAGCCTTGTTTTTTTTCTGGCTGAGGCATATACAAACCCTAGATTCATGTCACCTATATGTATAGGGCCAAAGGGCCTGCACCACCCTAAGTCCACCCTGGCAGTGTGAACGCTTTTCGATCTGCCATGAAAGCACACAGTGAAATGCAATGCAGCGGCAAGGTGGTTTACACTCATTCTGACACGCATACAGTATTTAATTCTTAAAAAGCAACTCCTTGCTGATTGGTTTTCACTGAAGAAATCAAGCAAAAAGCAATGCAGTCAGGGGCAGGCTTAGCACTATGCACACGTAGGCAACCGCCTTGGGCCCCCAGAAGCCAAGGGCCCCCAAAAAATGCAAATTATATATATTTTTAGTAATTAATGCTAAATAATGTATGTTGAAAATTTAAATATCGATGTTAAAAGCGCTGAAATGAGGGCCCCATTCCTATATTTTGCCTAAATCCGCCCCTGAATGCAGTGAAGGTTTTTCTTTTCAGTGGGACACGTTGGCGTGCCATAATGAAAAGCGATCCCATTTGTGTGTAATATTTTATACACTTTTTTTTCCACCCTTGTGAATGCTTTTTAAATTTGAATCTTATCCTCGGTATCAAGTACTGAGTCTCATATTCAGCTGATATAAATAAATAAATAAATAGCCCTTCCCACGCCCTCCCTGTGATTCAGTTGAAAAAGACACAACAAAAAGCAAGCAAGACACGAAAACCTGACTTTCTCAGAATATAAACTGGGTGGAAATTGGTTTGGGATGGTTTGGATGTAAGGATATGGTGATGGATGGGTGATGTGCTCTGCTGAATAAAGTTAGGTAAGAGTGAGTGTGTGTTATGGGACGGACAGGAGGAAGTTCTGAGAGGACTGCTCCTGACGCGCATGCGCACTATGCTCCGGTAAGAACTGCAGACGCCGCTATGTGCTCGCGCTGAGCTGTTTTGAAAGGCAGAAAAGCACTCCTTATTCCAGAAAAAGGACCAAAAGTCCCCTGTTTGCGCTGAAATATATGCATATAGATGTATATGACAGGTTTAGCGTGACCATTTGTGAGGATTGACTGAGAGGTTTGTAACACATTTTCCTCTTAACGCCGCTCTGTTCGCTGACACAAAGACAGAAAGCATTCTCGTTTTCTTTTTTTTTTTTTAAAAGATGCTATATGGCTTTCTTGCTTATTAAAAACGAATGGCTTTGATTTGTTCGATGGCATTGCTTTGTTTTTAATGCAAATCGGAGTGAATAGTTCGCGTTTGTCTTCGACAGATCACTTGTTTTGGGCCGTGAATGAAATGTAGGCCGAGGTAGCTAGCTAGGCTGGCTAGGTGCTTTTTTTATTTTTTATTTTTTTATCCTGCTCTCTCTCTCTCTCTCTCTTTCTTTCTCTATCTCTCTAACTCAGTTTTCTTTACTAATTAGCTACACAGCAAACCTACACTATTATCTTATGAGTGTAATAACGACCTGGTATTCTGTACAGTTCTTGTGTTTATATTGGGTTTTTTTTTAGTTTCGTAAACTCACTCGGATGGAGCTAATTGAATTTAGCACTTCAGCTAATTTGCCTTTAGCGCTGCAATAAAGTTCAGACTTTGCTGCTAAGCTAATCTCGGCTAGACTCAGGGAGAGGGGCTGAATGTGGAGCTGGCCCTAACTAGCATGGTGTTATCCAACCTTTAGCTTGCTGTGATTGGGATTTTTTTTTTCCCTGTTATTGTAATTTGTTTAATAATTTGTTATGGCACGACATGGACTAATACACAGACTCTGAGAAAGCAAAACTTTTTAGCAGTACTTGTCAGAAAACATTTTCTTTTTAGCCTTGTCTCTTCACAGCTTATTCTGTTTACAGGAAAGTCATAAACAACATACAAACTTTTGTTTTAGCTGTGAATTTGGTAATCTAGCCAGTCACCCCTCAGTGCTTTGTTTCAGTTGTTTCCAACTCTTCTGAAAACAGTCACTAGACGTCGCCAGGTGACGTCATGGACTCATTTGCATATTGATATCTGTTCATCATTGATCAGTGGCATATCATTAATTATGGTACATGAAGGAAAAAAGTTTTCCCTTAGAGTAGAATAGAGTTTTTATCAGAATAGAAAATCATAGCTTAGCATTTACTTCTTATAGAAAGAAGTTATCTTTGGTCATGGCACAAATTAAACTGCTACACATTTACAAAATACTGTACTTTCTCTCAGGAACACAGACTAAAAGAAGCAGTGACAGTGAGTAGTCATGAAGGAAAAGGTTACTCGCTTTTATTACTATCTCTAAAATAAAGAGTTTAAAACTGAAAAGTGGGAGGGTGGGACAGACAGTGGTGTTCAGTGATTGGTCAGTGGGAAACAGTGGTGATCCGTGATTGGTCAGTGGGAAACAGTGGTGATCTGTGATTGGTCGTTGGGAAACAGTGGTGATCAGTGATTGGTCGTTGGGAAGCAGTGGTGATCAGTGATTGGTCGTTGGGAAGCAGTGGTGTTCAGTGATTGGTCATAGGGAAGCAGTGGTGATCTGTGATTGGTCATAGGGAAGCAGTGGTGTTCAGTGATTGGTCGTTGGGAACAGTGGTGATCAGTGATTGGTCGTTGGGAACAGTGGTGATCAGTGATTGGTTGTTGAGAAACAGCGGTGATCAGTGATTGGTTGTTGAGAAACAGCGGTGATCAGTGATTGGTCGT